AAACAAAAAACAGAACAGGCTTTACACCCTCCCCTCCCACATCTCCACACTCCCCTACAATATACAAAGGTAAGACCTCATTTTGAGTTGTTATGCAATCACCTCTATATACACAACACACAAATCAGGACAAAATATTTTAAAAAATGAAATTAAAATGTTATTGTCAATGTTTAATTTTTAGTATATAATTTGGTGGGTTTTTTCCAGTTCCAAGATGGCAACCCCCCTTCCAAAGAGGATATTTCTGGGGGCAAGAGTAGGGACTTCTAGTGGAAAAGGCCAGGGGTTAGGGAGTGGAACTTCCAGTCCCAAGATGGGGACCAGTGGCCGAGGCACCTGTCAAGGGGCAGGGCTACCCTTGCAGACCTTGACAGCTCACCAAAACTCATTAAACAGCACTTGACCCAAAAGAATTGCCTGCCTCAGTCTAGATTGCCCAACCTACATGATTTCTGCCTGCACCCATTGAGACAGGCTGCCCAAGGGTCCCAAGTATCCCACTAATGTAAAGCCATAGAAGTAAAGTAATTGAGGAACTCCGAGACCCAGCAGTATGGCACATCAAGATAGAGTTGTTCCAAGCAAGAGATATCTTCTTGGCAATGATGCTTAATTAGGGGAAGATCTAACTATTGCATCTGATTTTAAATGAGCTGATCTTTAATCTTTGCCCTGAGCCCCCAGAGATTCCTTGTGATTGTGGTCTTCAAATCCAGTCCTTGGCTGCAGGAACAGTCCTGTTAGTCTTTATGGCACTAACCATTTTAAAGGCTTAATACATTGGCTTGTTTCAGCTGGAATACCTGTCACTAATGAAGCAAATTGACTCATGGCAGAGTTTGAGTTCATTTACATTCCCTGCATCTTGCAGTGCTTTGTAGGTTCAGGACACAGTGCTTGAGCAGAGGTAGGTGGGGGAGAATCACACACACACCACCTGTTTGCTCTACCTGCTACTTTAGCTACTGTAATACAGTTCCTAATCTTTTAGTGCTTTAAATGCCACCAGATTTCACATGCATAGGATTTGTTTCTTCTTTGAGCCATTCTAATTCATTCCCTGAAATGGGATCTTAACCCTGAGATGAAAAAATAGGTGTATAAAGAAGACCTCTTTGTTGGCCCACTAAGGAATTGGAGGGCATTTGGAATATGATATCTTGATTTCCCCTAATATTTGGTGTGTTGGATCAAGTGTTGATCTGTCACCATCCTGGCCTGACTGTTCAGAGTTTAATTTGTACCTGCAGCCCACTGACATTCTGACTTTCTCTGTCTGGTCTCTTTTCCTTGTGTTCTGTATGCCACATGGTTGTCATATTCCAGCTGCATTGCATTCCTTGTAGTTGTCTGCTATACACAGTATGTGTACTCTTAAAGAGTGTCCAGGCTGAAAGATCTTCTGCCCAGCAGCCTAGAATGACTCGCAGCTGCTGCCTAGCAGTGCTCTCACATCACTTATGTCAGTAGAAGGATTGTAGTTCTGCCTTCCTCAGTGGACATGCCACAACTGGAGTACAGCAAAGCAAAAACAACTTGAACTGGGCAAGACTGCCCTTGCTGCTACTTTTGACTGGAGAAGGGAGTGGCTGCAGAATGTTAAGGGTGTTGTAGGTTTCAGACAGCTTTCACGTCTCTGCTTTTATCAGTAATAATCAGGTTACCCAGCAGACCTGAGGGAGGAGTGCCCAAGGTAGGACAGCACAGCCAAATGCACCTGGTAAAAGGAGACTAAGCAGCAAGAAAAGGAAAGGTCTGATATTTCATTGAAACTGGGGCTAATTAAAAGAGATCAAGAAAAACAGAAGAAAGAGATGGGTAAAGGAGCAGCAGAGGCAGGAAGACAGAAATAGAATCAAAGGGGGAGGGAAGCATCAAAAGCAGAGAAGCAGCAGTGGAAGCCTTTAAATGAGAAAAGAAAAAGGTATAAGAAAGTAAAGGGGGATAAAAACTGCTATGGAGGGGAACAGGAAGAATGCAGGGAGCAAAATGGAAGAGACCCCAAAATACAGACCTTGGGCATCAAAGCTAGAAATCTTACCTTCTTGTGGCATCCCAAAGTGGTGTTTTGTAGTTAATAGGCAGTTGTTAATGTACATGAAGAAAGGATACTTCTAAGAAGTCAACACAGCATAGTTCTGAAGCAGGATACTGGCCAGCAGGACTGCTGGGGTCTGTTTCCATCTCTGTCACTGACCTCTATTATGTTGAGAAAGCTTTAACCCTGGAACCAAGAAGGTGAAAAACAAGGTTATTACTTCCTTCTGTTACAGGCTTATAGCCAGTCTCCAGTTGTTTGTAAAATACCTTGAGATTATCACCGGAAAATGCAAAGTATTTTTGTTTTTATCATTTAAACTTAGAAAAACACCACCATCTACATTGCTGTAAATGAGCAGCTTGTCCAGGTGCATTGGGATGGGGTTGGTGAATGGACTATCTCTGCACCTGTGAGTTTCTTCCAAAGCAGTTTGTCAGCAGAAGCTGCAAGGGCTGGGCCAGAACCAAAATAGTGTGGTGACCTGCAATATTATCTTGGTAACTTTTGTATCCCTGAGCTTCCTAAAAATGTTCAGCTTATACCAGTTCAGCCATTGTGGTGTTCCTGGAGCCATCTTACAGAAGCTGGTTAGACTTTGCCAGTATAGTTGTGTCAGCTCAGGAGTATGGTGGGATGCAGCTTGTGACTGCCACAGCTATGCTGACACTCATCTGTTGTGTGCCAGCATACTACACACACGCACAATTACACACAGCAGCATGGGTTTGCTGGCACAGCTCGTTTTCTTTTGGAAGGGGTCTGGAATAAGCTGTACTAGCTAATGTGCAGTTTTGCTTCTAGAAGCTGCTCCACTGTAAGAATGCCCTGCCAATCCTAGCATTTTGAGGCAGCTATGTAGCAAAAGCCTTCCAAATGTAGGCCTTGCCTGAGCCCTTGATGTGAGCCTGGTTTTGGGTTATGTCTTTCATGTGGAAAAGCTGAGTGGTGCAAGCTGTCATTTCCCTCTTCAGTCTGATTGCCCTGCCTGTTGTCTCCTGCTTAACATCAAAGACTTGCTAACAGCTTAACTACAAGAAACCTTTCTTTCACGTTAAGCACCCCACCTTCCTTTATCAGGATGTGAAAGGATCACAGTACATGTCCCTTGTACCTCCCACTGGTTCTCCAGCAGAACATAGACCCCATATTCCTATTATCTGCTGGGTTTGGCAGATCCTATCCTCCACTCTCAGATTTTTTCCACCCATCATAAATATGCAAATAAGGCATAAACCCAACTTAAAAATCCTTTGTGGGTGACGGTGGGGGGCAGAGGCTGAGCTGCGTGGGACTTTCCAGAGGCTATCTTAGTAAGCGTGGTAGCTGCTGTTGCTGGGCTTTCCTTGGTACCAATAGGTCTCTTCTTGCTTTCAGGAATACAGAAACTAGTATTAGCAGGCAGAGTGGGAGAGGCTATAGAGGCTACACAACAGCTCTACCCTGGCCTCCTAGAACACAACCCTAACCTGCTCTTCATGTTAAAGTAAGTATTCTTAGCTTTGTATCCTTTGCATAATCTTGGGCAGATGTCTTAGAAAGTGGGAGTCTGAGGAGCCTAACCAGTGCATTATGCCTGGATGTGTCATGAACTAGCCTAGTTTTTAATTCATGCTGCTAGAGGTTGCTGATGAAAGCAGTTGATCTGGGAGTGAAGGGGGAGAGGGCACTGGCCAACCTTCTCACCACTACTCAAAGTCAGTAGCTGCTCCTGGGTGGTATTTGCCATGAGCAGACAGCCAAAGGTGGATGAATGAGGCATTAACCCACCTGGCTGAGACTGACTCCTGTATCAGTAGCCTTTTTCTGCGCTAGAGATCTCTCCTTCAGCAAAACAAAATGCCAGGGATAGCTCTGCAACCCAACATTCCTAACCTTATGTCAACTATTTCTTTGATTTTTCCAGCCTATCTGTTTATTTGGACGTCAAGATGATAAAGTTCACTTTGTTGCAATTTATCACCTTTTGGGATGTTTGAGCATCACTGTGGGAGTTCTCAGAAAGAGGTTTATGTGAACAAAGGGGGATTATGGGTAGGCAGTAAGGCAGGGGTGATCAAAATCCAACTGAATCCAGCCCATGGAGGGACTTTGTCCAGCCCCCGACAGGTCCCTTAGTCCCGCCTGACCCAGGCACTGTCCATTCTGTGGTGCATCCTGCCACTTCCTGGGCATGTAGCAGGGCTTGGGGTGGCTCCACAGCTGGACTGCATTTCTAAGCAGCCCAGGAAGTAGTGGCTCCTTCTGGCTGCTGCTGCCGCTGGGCTCAGCCCCACAGTACTGGCAGGGACCCATGTGCACAGCTCTGACCCCAGCCCAGCCCAGCCCAACCTGCGTCCACTCTGGACTCCGCGCAGCAGAGTGGAACAGCTCTGGGCCAGCTGGAACCTGCACATGCAGCCCTGCCTTGGCCCGCCCCCTGCCTGTTCTGGACTGCCCACTCACACTGAGCAACAGTGGTGGCCAGGCAGAAGCTGCTGCCCAGTGCAGAGGCAGAAGCAGCCCCTCCCCTTCACTGCTGCTGGGTGCTCCTTACTGCAGCTGCCCAGAGCCCATGGCCAGGCTGCCCTGTTGCTCCTCTGTGCTGTCACCACTGCCCTGCTGGGTAGCCCATAGGCAGCAGGAACAGCAGTGGGGAAGAGCTGCAGGGTAGTCCAGATGTAGGTTCTGGGCTGCTGCAGCAAGAAGCACCTTGCAGCAGTGAGGGAGAGGGGCTGCTTTTCCTCCACTGCTGCTGCTGCTGTTCAGCGTGGGCAGGCGAGCCCAGAGCAGGCACAAGTCGGGTCAGGGCTGTGTGCATGGGTTCTGGCTGGTAGGCCTGTGTGAAGCATCAAGCATTCGTTTTGGATTTGGCCATTTGGAGGGACAGTGATTTGATTAAGAGATTCAAATCACTGTCCCAATATGATTTGGCCCAATCAGATCTGAAGATTTGGTGCTGTTTTGGAGATTCAGCCATAGACTAAACAGATGGCAGTCCTTACCGTGCTGGACACAGCTGACTCCAGCTGTCTTTTGGGGTTGGGGGAGGGTAAAGGGAAGGGACGTGGGGGAGGGTGGGCCTGGGAGAAGCTGCCCAGCTGGGGCAGGGGGCATGGGACTTGGGGAGGGGGTGGAGGGGTGCAGGATGCAGGCGTGGCAGTGCTCAGAGCAGAGGCTATGCCCTACTGCCATTTGCCCAGCCCGGGGGGAGGAGGGAGGTGGAATGCGGGAGCGGCTTGTTCTGAGCGGAAGGGGGCAAGTGGCAGCAAGGCATAGCCCTACTCCCTGTGCTGCCATGCCCGTATTCATGGAGTCATAGAATCAATGAGTGGGGAGGGACCTAGACAGATCATCTAGTCCGACCCCCTGCCATGGGCAGGAAGGAGCACTGGGGGTGGCAGGGGTCATAAGACCCCAGCCAGGTGCCTATCCAGTCTCCTCTTGAAGATTTCCAGGGAAGGTGAGAGCACCACCTCTCTGGGAAGCCTATTCCAGGCTCTGGCCAC